TACACAAAGGAAATTGGTGAAACAATCATTTCAACTCCTCCTCATTTACTTTGTTGCTCAATTAGGACACCTAATTTCCAAAAACCATAAAAAAGATATAAGAGATATAAAATGAAAATCAACTACCTTTGGCGGTATCGTTTATCCACATCAGTTAGACCATGATATTTGTCTGGTAGTGGAAGTAGAGACTTTGTGAGAATCCCAAAAGAATTCACAACAACAGAAAGCTCTCCTGAAGAATTGACCAAAATTATAAAAGAACAATTTCAGTTAAAGCTTCATAGCTTCACAGCAAGTCATCATGAAAGCAAATAGCAAGATTAAATCCAAAGTTTAGTACGTAGGGGAACAACCCTGACACAACTCACTTCAGGGTGGTAAATTCCCCCAAAACTCAAGTTGGAAGCTTTACCTTTCTCCGTCCTTTTCATCGAGCCACTAGCACCAAGAATATCACCAATATCAACAAGCGTCTTTAACTGGTCAAACTGGTCATTTAAAAGCCTTTCCTTCTCGCAGTAAAGCTATAACATATAAAACAATAACTTTCACTTTTTCTGCTTTTATACTTTTGTGCTTTATCTTGACACAAGTGCCTATTTGAATTTCAAACATATAATGTGCACAAGTTGTTATGTAATAAAAAATTTAACCAGTGCAGCTATAAGAGTATAATTGCCAAGATATAGAGATCACAAAACAATAAGAAAAATAGATAATAAACAAGCAAAAGAACCATATTCAAACCATAAATCTTGACAAATTACAGCGGAGAATAAGAAAAAGCACAAACCTGAATCGTACCCGAGTCATCTCTTAATGTCAAAAAAGCAAGCTTTCCAAATGCTCTGCGAGCAATAATTCTCCCTGCCACAGATACATTATCATTCTCACCACTTGACTCTTCACCGTTTGCCAAATGCCTGTATATCTCCTGTAGCTGATTAGCAGTATGAGTCCTATCCCACTTATAAGCATACGGCTCTAACCCTTTGCTCCTCAATTCTTCCACCTAAGAACAAAAACTAGCATGCTTACTTAAAAATTCAATAAAATTGAGTTCATTTACTCTCTAGTTTTGATTCCAGAACTACAAATATTAAATGCAAATACAAATACAAATTTACAAAATCTTTGAATTCTTTTCTTCTCATGCTATTTCTGAGCAACCCTGCTTAAGTCTAGCAAGCTTCAGTAATAAACCATTGTTTTCCTAGCAGCAACTTCTGTTTCAAATATGCTAAACTTTCTCTTATCCTACTCAAACACTTCACTAAATCACTCAAGCAAAAAGTTTTAACTTCTTTAATATTCTTGAATTTTCATAAAGCCAACCAGACCTCAATAAAAGAAATTAAAAAAGTACACATTTATTTGAATAAAAAAAAAATTTAAAAAGCATTTTTTTAATTTTGTTACCAAGCAACTCACTAAACTAGTCATCATTCGGTCATATCCTCCATAACTAAACTTTACACACTTGAAACCAGAGCTTAAAAGTTTCAGAAATCTATATTGATTAGAATCTTTAAAAAAATTGCACAATATGACAATCAAAAACAAATAAAGTTTCGAACTTTTTTATTGTTATCCAACAAAAACACTATCAAAAGGCAAAATCAAGCCTTAAATAACTGGATATATAAATGCAAAACTTAGGATGAAGTAAAACGCAGTTGTACAGACCTTTTTGATACGAATGGTGCGAATGGCGTCACGGTCGGAAGTGGAAGTGGACGAAGAGGAAGATCGGCGGTTTCTGATCCGGGTAGTGCTAGTGGTTGTGGCGGCGGAGGAGGAGCAGCAGCGGACGAGTGTGGAAGAGGCTCGGCGGTGGATGAGGTGGCGGAAGCTGATTGGTAAGGAAGAAGATAGACTGCTACACAGCTTCAATGACTCCATGTTGGTTTGCTCGTCTCCGGTTCTTACTCTACTGTTAATGATATAATTTCCACTTGCTTTAAAAAATTACTTTTAAGGTGGCCATTGCTCCACTGATATAAGATTAATCATATAATTTTTGTTTAATTTTTAAAATTCACTCGTTTCATTGTTAAGTAATAAAATATTACATAATCTTTTATTACAAATAATATTTACTGTTAATAATATTAGAGGTAATCAAATTACCTTTCCAAAGGGTGTTAATATAAGATTATCAAGGTAATCTTAATTTTGACTCTATTTTGTCCTTAATCTTTTATCATTTCGAACACATTTACCCTCATATGTCTACCAAATAATAATTACTTAGATTTCCTACATTCGAGAATTTAACTAAAACACCTCGCCATAAAAAAGTTTAAAAGTTAACAAAATACCCCCAACCACCCAAGACTACCATCGACCGCTAGCTGCCGTAAAAAGTTGTCATATCGGTACAAGACCGATGGGATCTTGCCGATTGTGTGCTGGTAAGGACGTTTCTGGCCACGAATTTGTGATCCATGGCCAGAAACGACCAGATCTGGTCGTTTCACGACCAAAGGTGTGGTCGTGAAACGCCATAGATCTGGTTGTGAAATGGCCGCCGTTTCACGGCAAAAGATCTAGCCTTTTCACAGCAAGATCTATGGTCATTTCACAGCCACATCTTTGGCCATGAAACGGCCATATTCACGGCCAGATCTGGTCTGATTAAGCCTTATCGGCACAGGACCAGCCAGATCCGGCTAGTCGTGAGCCATTACGGCGGCTGCCATCAGTGGTGGCTGGCTGCCGGCAGTGGCTTGGGGTGGGTAGGGGTGATTTTGCTATAAATTAAAGTTTTATATGATTTGAGTGTTTTAACAAAATTTCAAATATAGGGGGTTAAAAGAAATAATTGAATAAAATAATAATAAAAAAATATTATATTATTATTTAAAAATGAGGGCAATTTAGTAATCTATATAACATACCCACTCATTTATCCTCCCAACCAAACATATTATTATAACATATCCACCAATTTTTTCCAACCAACCAAACACATTTCTCTAAAGATTCTCTAGTAATCTATCTTTTCAGTAATACAACATTCCTCAGTAATATAACATTTTGTGAGCCAAATGCTCCCTAAAGAGTTTGTATTTATTATAGGGGATATTATATTAAAGTAAAGAAATATTACCTTGAATATAACTATGTATTTGGTTGGTTCAAATAAATTGGTAAATAATATGTTTGATTGGGAGGATGAATATGTGGGTATCTTATATAATATAATAGTATTTTTTATGATTATTTTTTGAATAGTTCTTTTAACCCCTTACTTTTCAGATTTAGCAAAAACTCCCTAACAGCCAAAAACGTTTTAAACTTAACTAAAACACCCCTACCCACCCCAAGCCACTGCCGGCAACCAAAACCACCGCCAACGGCCGCCGGCAATGCTATAGATCTGGTTGTGACGTCGATAGTTCCACAGATCTGGTCGTTTTCGACCATTATTCTATGATCTATGACCCGCCCGAAAAGGCCTCATCAGCGCACGGCCAACCATATACGGCCGGTCGTACTCCATTATGACAACTTTCGGCAGCCTCCGATGGTGGTCGACAACGACTGGCGGTGGTGGCCAGTTCTGGGTACAATGACATTATCAAGAGTCCATGATTCTGTAAGAAATAAGGAACGCATGCCCTGATTGTCAAGGTGTGAAATTCTAAATTTTAGTTTCGATAATCGATATTACACATAAGTTTTGAATTTCACATGGTTCGATTCAGACATTCCAAATATACAAGTGTGTCAGACCAAAGTCAACCCTTTTGATGACTTTAGGCTAGTCACTCCTTTAATTGAAGCAAATGACACAACCACCTTCCTTAATAAAGTATCCAACTTTAAATCACTACTGAGTGGTCTGATGGTAAAAGAACAAAAAAAGATTTTATAAGTTCTTAAGTTCTAAGTCCCCTCAAGCACTAATAGATGTGGCCAACTAGGATTGTTACTCGACCGATAATTCCAAAGCCCTAAGAGATTAGTTGAGATGCGTGCAAGCTGGTTTGGACATCGTTGGGCATTGGTGATTAAGAAAAAAAAAATTATCCAACTTTATATTTATAGGTTGTGAATCATTTTCGAACTTTAATTGAGAAATATGTCTCACATATGTAAATCCATCATATAAATAGTTCTTATCATTATTACTAGTCTTGGAACCTTATGATACGACTTTATCAATTCATAAAGGAATAATGTCTAATTCATTAATTCATAAGATATGAATATGTTTGTAGGGCATAAATCCCAACACTTATGGACCTACCATCTAGATTACTAGCTTAATCAACACTATGTAACCTTCAAGCATCAAAGGCATTGTAGCTTAGAAATGCAAACAATAGAACAATGAGCCTTTGAGATATCTAACCAATCTTTTACAAGTTTGCCAAGGGAGAAGTGTAAGAGACTGAAGGTACTAGCTTAATATGTTCATAGCAATGGCAATATTTGGCCTTTTGATTTGTGAGAAATTATAGAGAGTCAACTGTTCTTCTATAAAGATGAGGATTAGTGAAATTGTTACTATTCTACAAGGACAATTGCAACTAGATGCCAATAGAATAGGACATATGTTAGCTTCATCAAGATGAGTTTTCTTAAGTAGATCCTTGATATATTTACCCTGAGATATAAACCAAAAGCACATCCAAAGGGTCTTAAGTTGATTGCAGAATAATCATAGAAGGCATAGCTGCTAAAAAGTTTTTTATAAACTTATCTGAGCTTTTTTTTTTAACTTTAATATCATCATATAAAGCCACATACATATCTACTCTTTCTAATCATATAAGATCTTAGATTCTTAATATATATATATATATTTAAAAAAAAAAAAAAAAGAGGAAGTTTACTGATAGACTAAATTCTTTGCCTAATATTACCTACACAAAGGAAATTGGTGAAACAATCATTTCAACTCCTCCTCATTTACTTTGTTGCTCAATTAGGACACCTAATTTCCAAAAACCATAAAAAAGATATAAGAGATATAAAATGAAAATCAACTACCTTTGGCGGTATCGTTTATCCACATCAGTTAGACCATGATATTTGTCTGGTAGTGGAAGTAGAGACTTTGTGAGAATCCCAAAAGAATTCACAACAACAGAAAGCTCTCCTGAAGAATTGACCAAAATTATAAAAGAACAATTTCAGTTAAAGCTTCATAGCTTCACAGCAAGTCATCATGAAAGCAAATAGCAAGATTAAATCCAAAGTTTAGTACGTAGGGGAACAACCCTGACACAACTCACTTCAGGGTGGTAAATTCCCCCAAAACTCAAGTTGGAAGCTTTACCTTTCTCCGTCCTTTTCATCGAGCCACTAGCACCAAGAATATCACCAATATCAACAAGCGTCTTTAACTGGTCAAACTGGTCATTTAAAAGCCTTTCCTTCTCGCAGTAAAGCTATAACATATAAAACAATAACTTTCACTTTTTCTGCTTTTATACTTTTGTGCTTTATCTTGACACAAGTGCCTATTTGAATTTCAAACATATAATGTGCACAAGTTGTTATGTAATAAAAAATTTAACCAGTGCAGCTATAAGAGTATAATTGCCAAGATATAGAGATCACAAAACAATAAGAAAAATAGATAATAAACAAGCAAAAGAACCATATTCAAACCATAAATCTTGACAAATTACAGCGGAGAATAAGAAAAAGCACAAACCTGAATCGTACCCGAGTCATCTCTTAATGTCAAAAAAGCAAGCTTTCCAAATGCTCTGCGAGCAATAATTCTCCCTGCCACAGATACATTATCATTCTCACCACTTGACTCTTCACCGTTTGCCAAATGCCTGTATATCTCCTGTAGCTGATTAGCAGTATGAGTCCTATCCCACTTATAAGCATACGGCTCTAACCCTTTGCTCCTCAATTCTTCCACCTAAGAACAAAAACTAGCATGCTTACTTAAAAATTCAATAAAATTGAGTTCATTTACTCTCTAGTTTTGATTCCAGAACTACAAATATTAAATGCAAATACAAATACAAATTTACAAAATCTTTGAATTCTTTTCTTCTCATGCTATTTCTGAGCAACCCTGCTTAAGTCTAGCAAGCTTCAGTAATAAACCATTGTTTTCCTAGCAGCAACTTCTGTTTCAAATATGCTAAACTTTCTCTTATCCTACTCAAACACTTCACTAAATCACTCAAGCAAAAAGTTTTAACTTCTTTAATATTCTTGAATTTTCATAAAGCCAACCAGACCTCAATAAAAGAAATTAAAAAAGTACACATTTATTTGAATAAAAAAAAAATTTAAAAAGCATTTTTTTAATTTTGTTACCAAGCAACTCACTAAACTAGTCATCATTCGGTCATATCCTCCATAACTAAACTTTACACACTTGAAACCAGAGCTTAAAAGTTTCAGAAATCTATATTGATTAGAATCTTTAAAAAAATTGCACAATATGACAATCAAAAACAAATAAAGTTTCGAACTTTTTTATTGTTATCCTACAAAAACACTATCAAAAGGCAAAATCAAGCCTTAAATAACTGGATATATAAATGCAAAACTTAGGATGAAATAAAACGCAGTTGTACAGACCTTTTTGATACGAATGGTGCGAATGGCGTCACGGTCGGAAGTGGAAGTGGACGAAGAGGAAGATCGGCGGTTTCTGTTCCGGGTAGTGCTAGTGGTTGTGGCGGCGGAGGAGGAGCAGCAGCGGACGAGTGTGGAAGAGGCTCGGCGGTGGATGAGGTGGCGGAAGCTGATTGGTAAGGAAGAAGATAGACTGCTACACAGCTTCAATGCCTCCATCTTGGTTTGCTCGTCTCCGGTTCTTACTCTACTGTTAATGATATAATTTCCACTTTCTTTAAAAAATTACTTTAAGGTGGCCATTGGTCCTAAAATTAATCGTATAATTTGTTTAATTTTCAAAAAAAATTCGTTTGGTTATAACAAGTAATAAAATATTACGTAATCTTTTATTATAAATAATATTTACTATTAATAATATTGGAGGTAATCAAATTACCTTCCCAAGAGGTATTAATATAAGATTATCAAGGTAATCTTAATTTTGACTCTATTTTGTCCTTAATTTTTTATTATTTTGGACACATTTACGCTCATATGTTTACCAAATAACAATTACTCAGATTTCCTACATTTGAAAATTTAACTAAAACATCTCGCCATAAAAAGTTTTAAAAGTTAACAAAATACCTCTAACCACCCAAGACCACCGTCGGCCGCTAGCCACCACCGCTGGCTGCCAGAAAAAGTTGTCATATCGGCACAAGACCGGCGGGATCTTGCCGGTTGTGTGCTGGTAAGGACGTTTCTGGCCACAGATTTGTGATCCATGGCCAGAAACGACTAGATCTGGTCGTTTCACGACCAAAGGTGTGGTCGTGAAACATCATAGATCTGGCCGTGAAATGGCCGCCGTTTTACGGCAAAAGATCTGGCCTTTTCACAGCAAGATCTGTGGTCATTTCACGGCCACATCTTTGGCCATGAAACATCCATATTCACGACCAGATCTGGTTTGATTAAGCCTTATCGACACACGACCAGCCAGATCCGGCTAGTCGTGAGCCATTACGGCAACTACCATCGGTGGTGGCTGGCTGCCGGTAGTGGCTTGGGGTGGGTAGGGGTGATTTTGCTATAAATTAAAGTTTTATATGATTTGGGTGTTTTAGCAAAATTTCAAATATAGAGGGTTAAAAGAAATAATAGAATAAAAAAAAAAATATTATATTATATTATTATTTAAAAAAAAGAGTAATTTAGTAATCTATATAACATACACACTCATCTATCATTCCAACCAAACATATTATTATAACATATCCACCAATTTTTTCTAACCAACCAAACACATTTCTCTAAAGATTCATTAGTAATCTATCTTTTCAGTAATACAACATTCCTCAGTAATATAACATTCCGTGAGCCAAATGCTCCCTAAAGAGTTTGTATTTATTATAGGGGATATTATATTAAAGTAAAGAAATATTACCTTGAATATAACTATGTGTTTGGTTGGTTTGAATAAATTGGTAAATAAGATGTTTGATTGGGAGGATGAATATGTGGGTATCTTATATAATATAATAGTGGCTGCGTTTGGTTCAAAATTTGGGGGTTTTGGGAAAAGTTTTTTAAAATTTATAAATTATAAAATCTCCTTTATGTTTTTTTTTACAAAATACCCCCTATAATAAAACATTAAAAGTTAACAAAAATACCCCTAACCCACCCTCAAACACCCCCAGCCGGCGACCACCACCGGAGGTGGCCGGAGTCGCCGTATGGGAGCATGACCGGTTGGATCTTGCCGATCATGCATCGCTATGGCCTTTTCCGGCCAGATCCACGGTGGAGGCCGTCAACGGCCAGATCTAGCCGTATTTGCTCTCAACGATGGCCAACAAACGGTCGTCGTTGATGGTCAACGACGACCGTTTGTTGGCCGTCGTGACCGAGTGTTACGGCCAAAGATCTGGCCGTCAACGGCCAGATCTTTGGCCTTAGATCTAGCCTTTTCTGGCCAGATCCACCGTGGATCTGGCCGGAAAAGGCTAGATCGGCGCACTGCCAGCCAGATTCCGGTGGTGGTGGCCGGAATCTGGTAAATGTGGATTATTGGGGTGTTTTTGTAATTTAAAAAAAAATATTTAGGGGTATTTAATTAAATTATCAAATTTAAGGGGTTTAAAAAAGTTGAATAATTTTGGGAGTAGTATTCCCAAAAATCTGAATTTTTGGGTATTTTACTGTTTAACTTTTTTGGGAATACTAAAAGTAGTATTCCCAAATGTGAAACAAACGCAGCCAGTATTTTTTATGATTATTTTTGGAATAATCTTTTAACCCCTTACTTTTCAGATTTAGCAAAAACTCCCTAACAACCAAAAACGTTTTAAACTTAACTAAAACACCCCTACCCACCCCAAGCCACTACCGACAACCAACACCACCGCCAACGGCCGCTGGCAATGCTATATATCTGGTTGTGACGTCGACAGTTCCACAGATCTGGTCGTTTTCGACCATGGATCTATGATCTATGACCCGAAAAGGCCTCATCAGCGCACGACTGACCATATACGGCCGGTCGTACTCCATTATGACAACTTTCGGCAGCCTCCAATGGCAGTCGACAACGACTGGTGGTCGACAACGACTGGCGGTGGTGGCCAGTTCTAGGTATAATGATATTTCTGTAAATAATGACAATAACAAGGGCAATGTTATCCAAAAAATTTAAAAAGTAACAAAAGAGTCTACATGAGTGAATTGGGTGTTTTGTAAATCTTAACAAATATAAGACTAATTTGAATCAAATGTTCAACTGTTTAGGGGCAACATGGAACACAAAATTAGATTACCTAGGGCAAGTTTCCTCCTAAGGTAATATTCCCAACAACTTACCCCCAAAATGCCATTGTTTGTCATAAAAGATTACAAGAATAATTTTTTACAAACTAAACAAACATCGTTATCTACTCAATTTCAAAAACATTACCCCAATTATCTAATATTACCCCCATCCAAACGGGCCCTAATAAATTTTTTTTTTTTTTCCACTCAAAAAAGAATTTTTCGTTAGTACCCCTAAATTAATGGAAATTGATAATGTGTAACAAGTTGGAGATTAAATCATAAACATATCCTTCGAATTAGCCAAGCATGACATTATCAAGAGTCCATCATTTTGTAAGGAATAAGGTACGCATGCCCTGATTGTCAAGGTGTGAAATTCTAATTTTAGTTTCGATATTACACATAAGTTTTGAATTTCACATGGTTCGATTCAGACATTCCAAATATACCAGTGTGTCAGCCCAAAGTCAACCCTTTCGATGACTTTAGGCTAGTCACTCCTTTAATTGAAGCAAATGACATAGCCACATTCCTTAGAATAAAGTATCCAACTTTAAACCATTACTGAGTGGTCTGATGGTAAAAGAGCAAAAAGAGATTTCATAAACTCTTAAGTTCTGAGTCCTCTCAAGCACTAATAGGTGTGGCTAACTAGGATTGTTACTCAATCGATAGTTCCAAAGCCCTGAGAAATTAGTTGAGATGTGTGCAAGCTGGCTTGGACATCATTGGGCATTGCTGATTAAGAAAAAAAAAGTATCCAACTTTATATTTATAGGTTGTGAATCATTTTCGAACTTTAATTGAGAAATATGTCTCACATATGTAAATCCATCATATAAATAGTTCTTATCATTATTACTAGTCTTGGAACCTTATGATACGACTTTATCAATTCATAAAGGAATAATGTCTAATTCATTAATTCATAAGATATGAATATGTTTGTAGGGCATAAATCCCAACACTTATGGACCTACCATCTAGATTACTAGCTTAATCAACACTATGTAACCTTCAAGCATCAAAGGCATTGTAGCTTAGAAATGCAAACAATAGAACAATGAGCCTTTGAGATATCTAACCAATCTTTTACAAGTTTGCCAAGGGAGAAGTGTAAGAGACTGAAGGTACTAGCTTAATATGTTCATAGCAATGGCAATATTTGGCCTTTTGATTTGTGAGAAATTATAGAGAGTCAACTGTTCTTCTATAAAGATGAGGATTAGTGAAATTGTTACTATTCTACAAGGACAATTGCAACTAGATGCCAATAGAATAGGACATATGTTAGCTTCATCAAGATGAGTTTTCTTAAGTAGATCCTTGATATATTTACCCTGAGATATAAACCAAAAGCACAGGGATGGGCACAGGCTGGGGTGGGGAAAAGGACCCCTATCTCCAGGCCCGGCCCATAGGGATGTGGTTACTCCTATCCCCGGCTTGGCCTAGCCTGAATTTTGAATTTTTTTGAATTTTTTTTTTTTTAGAATTGTTCATAAAGTTTTATAAACTTTTAAAGAATTGAAAATTTTAATTAAATAAAATATAGAATTTATTTAATATTAATTGGGGGAATTTTTGTTGAGAAAAACAAATTATATTCCATTTCTTCAAGATTATTTATTACAAGCAAACAATGTAACCCCCTTCCTTTCCTTGCTAATATTTCTATTCCTAATATTTTCCATGAACCAAACATGGCCCTAGTGGTTTACTAATTATTTCAGTATTCAATCTAACTTGATCATAACATGTCGGGAGCAATTCCAATACCAACTGCATCCAAAATTGGGTTATTTAAGAATAAATCGAATTGCTTAATTAAAGCCTCTATTTAATTATTTTTCCAAATAATTAATTTATAATTTCAAATAAGATAATTTTAATTTGCAATCTGCTAGCAATAATTTGAAGACAAAAAGAAAACAAAAAGTGAGATTAATTAAGAAAGCAAATCACAGTCTATTACATTCCAAAAGTGATAAAAAAAAAAGGCCTTAATGAGATGTAACAGTAAACTACTATTGGGTTTGGGTGTATGAATTAACTAGACATGGGGTCTGCGCATTGTGTGGATATGTTTATTTAATGTTTTTGAAATAGGTTGTAAACAAATTTATTTTAACAGAATAAAGTAATTAGATTAAGAGATGATAATTGTTAAATTATACAAGTTTTAAAGTAAATATAAATTCTATATATGTACGGAGTTGTGTTAAGATGAAATTAATAATTGTACCTTTATAATTATTAATATCAATTAATATATCAAGATCAATTATTTAAACTTAAAATTTATATTGAGCTTTCGTAATTTCTATAAGTTATATTCATTTTCAAGTTTGACATTGACTGGAATTTTTTTTTCTCACAATATAGGATTCATATATTTCTTTAAAATCAGTAATCCCTAGCCAAGGTTTGAAAACAAACGTCTGTTCACACAGTTCATTCA